TGAAAGAAGGCTGGTTTCCAGACTGTATGCCAGAGATCCTACAGTCCCACCCCTGCATGATTCCAAGACTTAGTTATGCTATAAATCAGAGCATCCTGCGGAGAGGGAGGAAACGTATTGACTAGCACATGCAATAAGTGCTCCAAGTGCCAATGGATTGCGGAAACAAGGTGGGAGAAGTAATAGCTTCCATTAGACCGATGTCTGCTGCTGAGAAAGTCATGCTTTCGATTGTGCCTCTCTCTCTTATTTCCTGGGACTGACATGGCTCCCATTGCATACAGGGGACCTGCGCTCACTTCCCCATTAGTAGCACATTAGTTCATTGTGATTAATGGTTTTACGGTGCACACCCAAGGAGTTAATGACTACCCTGCTGTATATTAAGATGGTTTTGGTATAATTACTTCTGGCCAGTGGAGGGAGAACTTGTATGTGTTGGAAAGAAGGAGCACAGTGCACAGATGAGCTATGCAAAGTTAGCTATGCCACTAACTGCTGCAGGGCCTCTGACAGTGGATGCTGGCTCCAGCTATAGGACGAGCACCTCCGACCTGGCTGAGTTTCTCCTGGAGCAGAGAAGAGCCAAGGTGATTTTTCAAAGCCTGAAGTTGATTTGTGCCCAGCCCATCCAACAGGAGCATTTGCCCCCCAATGCCTAGTGGTGAGGACACCGTCATCCAAATGCCTGCCCTTCCGAAACAGCACCACTTTCCCTTCGCCACTGTCATTGCTGCCAGTTAACTGTCACCCAGATCCCTCTCGCAAGGTGACATCCCAATTCCTGATTCGATAGGTGTTTAAACCAAGGCCTAACTTCAGTGACTGGGTCCGAAGGGAACTCCTTGCATGTCTGCAGAGTGCTCCTGTGCTTGAAAGATACGTAACAATAGTCATTAGTGTTAAAAGATTGGGAGGGGTGTGGGATGGAAACCAGGACCTAACCATTGCTTGGCAAGGGGCCTGAGTCTGACACCCTTCCTCCCTTAAACAGCCCCTTCCTGCCTCGGCAATTCCACTGGTTGCCAAGGGACACCTCAAGGCCTAGGAGGCTTTTCTTGTCCCTGGGTCTCTGTTGTGACAGAGGGGGTTGCTGTGTTGCTCATGAGCAGAGTTGTTGACTCGAGTCCCACGACTTGAACTTGATTCCGATTTAAGTCATCTAGGTGACTCGACTTGAGACTTGACTCGGGCTCATTGTTTGTGACTTGACACTCGACTTGAGACTTGCTAATTTTGTTAAATCGACTTGGTGAAAAAACTGTCCGAAAATGCCGATATTGATGGCTTGTACAAAAGTGACTTGACATTTTTTAAATTAAGACTTGAGACTCGACTTGGGACTTGACTCGAAAGTGACGTTAGGGGCTCCAGACTCAACTTGAGACTTGAACTGTAGTGACTTGAGACTCGACTTGGACTTGACAACAATGACTTGAAGACAACACTGCTCATGAGTGGCTAAAGAGACGGCTGTGCACCTGGGAGGCCTTGTCACTTGAAGTGCCTAAGGCCAAGGAAAGGATTGCAGTCTGCGTCTGCTCTTTACAACTCAGCCACTGTGGTCCCCGGCAGGTAACCTCACCCGGGGAATCCCATTGCTCACCATGGCTTCCCAAAGTGCGCTGTCAAGTACAGACCAGGCCTGGCTGACAGCGTCAATGTCACGATAGTTTAAGCTGCACTTCTGTGCATTAGCTCCCTATGGCCTTGGGTCCCTAGGTGGAAGGGAGGCGACACTTTTGAATGATGGGAGAGGCCCCCAACAGGCAAGGGGCTGAGGACAGAGGCAGTGGTGTATTCCTCTTGGAAACAAAGCGGTTGAACCATAACAGGCAGTCAGGCCTTGTGACTTCATTCTGCTGCAGGATCTAGCTTGTGCCCAGTGCCCTCTCAAAACTCCTCTGGAAACGCTCTATCGGCTGATTTCAGTGCAAAGAACTTAATTCTTGCTCTAGAGGCGATCGAGTGACAAGGCCAGAAGCTGCACTATGCTGAGCTGGCACCACCGGGAAGTGTCTGCCTAGGTTGCCAAATGTCCGGTATTCACCCGAACAGTCTGGTATTTTCACCTCCTGTCTGTTAAAAAAATTCAGAAAATACTGGACACCTAAAATGTCCGGTATTTTTGTGGGGGTTTTTCCCTGCCAGGAGGCGAAAATACTGGACACCTGGCAACCCTACAACACACTCAGCAACTGGTCCCAGTCCCCTGACCTCTTGCCAGGCCCCCTCAGAAACTCCCCCGCTTACCTGGTTCTGCAGGGGCTTGTCTTATGGCTGGAACAGAAAAACAAAATGGCCACTGGCAAAAAAAAAGCCTCTTCTTAAAGGGGCCATGCTGATTTTTAATTTTTAATGTTTAATTTTTTTTTTTGCTCAACAAGTTTGGCCTCCCCCTTCTTTTTTCTCAACAGAATTTTTTTTCCATTGGGTTTTGTGTGTGTGTGTGTTCGGTATTTTTGGTTAAACCATCTGGCAACCCTATGTCTTCCTGGCTCCTAGCCCCCTGCTCCTTCCACACTTTCACACCTTCACAAGTCCCGCACCCTGGGATTAGTCTGAGGCTGAGGTAACGTTTGGAGGGAGGCCTCAGAGCCGAACCATCACCACCTCGCCCCTCTCAGGTATGGCTGCTAATCAGTGAGTCGGGGCAGAGGATGAGGGAGGGAAGAGGTATAGTAATGGGCTGAAATGAAGCAGAACACTGAGGCAAGGATATCAGGCTAGGTGGCTGTCACGCACTGAATAGCCTCTGGAATGGTCTTCCCGGGAAGCAGCCTGTTCTAAATTAGAGGATGTAGGGCAGGTGGAGGTACAGCATTGGCAGGGGAGTGCACTGGGTAACCTAATAGGCCTTGTTTAGCCTCAATTCTTCAGGAAGCAGCGCTCTGCCATTTTGTAACTACAGGCTAATTCTGGGTGAGCTGGGCATTCCTCTAGAGGCCTGGGAGACGCTCCATCTCTGGAGGACTGCAAGGCAGCGCTGCTCTGGCGTGGAGCCTGCCAAGGCACCAGTGAAGTCATTCCGTCTTATTGTGAGCCAGTGATCTCACCTGGTCCTGCACAAGCACGTAGACGTCCTCTGCCCCCACTGCCCAACAGCTGGGATCCCAGGGCCACGATAAAGCCCAGTGGTCCATTTCTGAAAGGAAGGGCCTTAAAAGCCAGCCCTTGGTATCTCCATGGGGACAACGGGCTTTTCGGGACGCATGAGGGGCGGGGGGGCATGGCACTAGGGAAAGGAGGGGTAGGGAATGATTTCCCTACCTCTCCCATTGCCTTTATGGGGCTATCCCCGCCCCAGAGGGCCGTCC